TGTAACCCGAGGTACCACTGTACAGTAAACATCTGCTCCTGTGATTCCAACAGTCAATGCTGGAATGCATAACACAGACATGTGATGAACCAATCCTACACAATATCTGCACAGTGAGAGGAACAGAAACCCAACAGAAACGTGGGGTTTTTGGTGCCAGATGTTGCAGAGGGCCTTTTATCAGAGTTTGGGGCTGCTTTGGTTTCAATCTGGCAATGTATTTTCAGTGAAACTGGGACCGTGTGGCTTAGGCCACCAAGGGCTCATTTTCTGAACCTCCGTGAAACATGGGGTTTTCAATGCCAAATGTTGAAGGGGGCCTTATTTCAGCATTTGGCGCCACTTGGGAGTGAATTGGATGACATCGGATGTTTGGCGAAAAGGTGACCCCGCTGGTTAGAGCAGTGATGGTTAATTTTGTGGGGTGCTGGGAAACTTGGGGTTTTCATGGCCAACCATTGCAGGCGGCCCTTGGCAGGCCTTTGGCTCTCCTTTGGAGTAATTCTGATGCCGTCAGATTTTTGGCAAAACTGTAACCTCGCATGTTAGGGCGCCTAGGGCTCATTTTGTGGATTGCTGTGAAACATATGGTTTTCAGCGCCAAACATTCCAGGGGGCCTTTTATCAGCATTTGGCGGCACTTGGGAGTGAATCACACAACATCGGGTTTTCGGTAAAACAGTGACCCAGCGGGTTAGGGCACCAAGGGCTCATTTTATGGCCTACTGTGAAACATGAGCCTGTGTCCTAGCCAGGTCTCTCATCACACTGCTTCTCTCATGTGCCTCTATCACTTAAAGCAGCTTACAAGAAATAGGTTACAATTTCACAATCAACAACAGTATTGTCAAATACAATATTGTGCGGCAGACTGCAGAAGCAGCCAAGACATATAAAACAATTATCTCCAGATAAGATATCAAATTGGCAAGGGCAAAGCCTGACACACACACATGAGTGTGTGTATGTATGTATGTATGTATGTACGTCTTCCAGCAGAGGATAACAAGAGAGGGGACAACTTGTGTTTTACGATGCAAGGGTATTGCAAGGGTGGTAGGGGATGAGTGTTCAGACCTCTGGGCTCTCAATTGTGGGGTGCCTCAGGGTTCTATCCTCTCCCCCATGCTTTTTAACATCTACATGCAGCCGCTGGGAGAGATCATCAGGGAGTTTGGCTTGGGTGTTCATCAATATGTGGACGCAGCTCTACCTCTCTTTTAAATCAGAACCAGTGAAGGCAGTGAAGGTCCTGTGTGAGTGTCTGGAGGTGGTTGGAGGATGGATGTCAGCTAACAGATTGAGGTTGAATCCTGACAAGACAGAAGTACTGTTCTTGGGGGACAGGGAGCAGGCTGGTGTGGAGGACTCCCTGATCCTGAATCGGGTAACTGTGCCCCTGAAGGACCAGGTGTGCAGCTTGGGAGTCATTCTGGACTCACAGCTGTCCATGGAGGCACAGGTCAATTCTGTGTCCAGGGCAGCTGTTTATCAGCTCCATCTGGTATGTAGGCTGAGACCCTACCTGCCCGCAGACTGTCTCGAGAGTGGTGCATGCTCTAGTTATCTCTCGCTTGGACTACTGCAATGCGCTCTATGTGGGGCTACCTTTGAAAGTGACCCAGAAACTACAACTAATCCAGAAATTAGACAGCTAGACTGGTGACTGTGAGCGGCCGCCGAGACCATATAAGACCAGTCTTGAAAGTCCTACAGTGGCTCCCGGTATGTTTCCAAGCACAATTCAAAGTGTTGATGCTGGTCTTTAAAGCCCTAAATGGCCTTGGTCCTGCATACCTGAAGGAGCGTCTCCACCCCCACCGTTCTGCCCGGACACTGAGATCCAGTGCTGAAGGCCTTCTGGTGGTTCCCTCGCTGTGAGAATTGAGGTTACAGGGAACCAGGCAGAGGGCCTTCTCAGTAGTGGCGCCTGCCCTGTGGAACACCCGCCCAGCAGATGTCAAGGCAATAAACAACTATTTTACTTTTAAAAGACAACTGAAGGTGGCCCTGTTTAGGGAAGTTTTTAATGTCTAACGCTGTATTGTTTTTAATATTCAGTTGGAAGATGCCCAGAGTGGCTGGGGAAACCCAGCCAGATGGACGGGGTATAAATAATATATTATTATTATTAGTAGTAGTATTATTATTATTATTAAAAAGCATTTATTTTGGGACACTCCCCCAGAACTTAGACAGTGGGCAATCTGGTATGGGAGAATATGATCCATTAGATATTCCTGAACCAAATGTGGCAGATGCTGTATGGTCCACCTAGTATTTAGTCATTTAAGAATTAACAACTTTGTCTTATCCTGCTAAGCGGCAAGGTCAGTTTTATTATACCCCAGCTGCAGTTCTGGTCTTGAGAGAGAGGCCACAAGCTTCTTCCCTTTCTCTCCACTGTCTTGAGCCATTTATGAAAATAGCCATTAATTGTGCAGAACTCATACAACAACATGAATGAATTCTTCCTTAATTGATTAATTGAATTATGCTATCATTCATTCATTTGTTTGTTTTTGCATTCTTTCTTGTGCATTTGTTCACCGTTCCGCAATTGCTCCAAACCCTGCAGTAAACATTTAAGTCTGAAACAATAACCAGAAACTTCCAATTCCTAACTGAAATAAATATGATAACACTGCAATTATGTGAAGCTTATGCTCATGATAGTCCCTCATTTCAGAATGTATTACAAATTCAATGCTATAAAGAGAAAGGTGCATTTTTACACATTATTAAATATTCTTATCTTAAGCTATTATATCAGCACATAAACATGTATTATGAAACATTACAATGCCTTAAAAATGTTCATTACCTCCACTCTTCTCTATCAGCTGGAGGTTAATGCAAGTCAGATTTTTCTGTTCAACTTTAAACCCACTCGAGAATGAAAGGAGAAGTTGATCCTCATTGTTATTTTATCCACAAGACAATTTAGAGGCAATTTGTCGTGCAAGACCATAGGCTTTTTATCCCTTTTTTATATTCTTAATCGATCTTGGTGCACAGACAATAATTTGGGAATACAAAAACTGCAATCAAGGTTGAGGAGGCATCGCTTAGATTGTCTGCGAGATGTACGTTATCTCAAGAGAGTAATGATCTCTAATGAGAATCAAAACTCATAAAAGAGATGGCAACAATGCTAATTCATGCCTGGAAAGATGTGCTTTCTTGAATTAGAAATTTGGTTTGGGCGTGCCTTTCCCCCTTCTTGAGAAGAATAGGGAAAAAAGAAATGTTGTGGACCATTATGCATAGGTTACTTGTTCTTTAATATATTAGTCACAGTCTGTGAACAAGGCTAAATGAATGTTTGCCCACAATCCACAGAATACATTGCCATATGTTATGGGTAGGGAACACTCAGCTTCTCTGTTTGGCTCTAAGGACTCTCCAAGTTCCCTCTCTAGGCCATGTCCACTGGACATCCCCATGCCCTTCTTAAATACTTTTTACCTTGCTTAACTTTTCATCATCTGGGTAGAGAATGAAGAGGTGTGCGAATGATTACAAACAGCTGGCTTTGTGAAAGAGAATTACAGTGGTACCTCAGGTTAAGAACTTAATTCATTCTGGAGGTCCATTCTTAACCTGAAACTGTTCTTAACCTGAGGTACCACTTTAGCTAATGGGGCCTCCCACTGCCGCCGCACAATTTCTGTTCTCATCTTGAAGCAAAGTTCTTAACCTGAGGTACTATTTCTGGGTTAGCGGAGTCTGTAACCTGAAGCGTCTGTAACCCGAGGTACCACTGTACAGTGGTACCTCGGGTTATGAACTTAATTCATTCCAGAGGCCCTTTCTTAAACTGAAACCATTCTTAACCTGAGGTGCCACTTTAGCTAATGGGGCCTCCCGCTGCCGCCGTACCACCACCACACGATTTCTGTTCTCATCCTGGGGCAAAGTTCACAACCCAAGGTACTACTTCCTGGTTAGCGGAGTCTGTAATCTGAAGTGTTTGTAACCCGAGGTGTTTGTAACCCGAGGTACCACTGTACATGAAAATGATGTACTGGTGGTATTCGACTCCTACTAAGTTGGCAAAAATGTATAGGACAAGTACAAATACCTGCTGGAAATGTAAAGAAAAAGAAGGTACCTTCTATCATATGTGGTGGACCAGTAAGGAGGCAAAAGCTTTCTGGGAGATGATATACAATGAAATGAAAACAAATGTTTAAAATAACTTTTGTTTAAAAAAACCGGAAGTGTTTTTATTAGGAATTACAAGTACTGACGTTCCAAAGAACCAGAAAAGACTTTTTATGTATGGAACAACAGCCAATCAAATGCTGTTAGCCCAGAGATGGAAAGAAGACAAAGTCCCAACCAGAGAAGAATGGCAAACCAAGCGATGGACTATGCTGAAATAGCAAAGTTGACTGGAAAACTCAGGAACCAAGAGGACAAAAACTTTACAATAGAATGGGAAAATTTTATAACTTATCCAAGAGACCTCTGTAAGCAGATGGAAACATTGGCAGGATTTTGATTTCACTTGTAGTGTAACAATTACCATGGAAAATATGGATTGATATAATAGTTAGAGTGCAGAAGAATATGCAGTTTTTGTTGAGATAAGATGGCGCCCGGCACACTTCCCCTGTGCTGATGGACGCTTGTGCCGATAGGAAAAACTTGAACCTCTTAGCAGAGTTCGTAGCAGAGTTCTGCAGCGGTAGAAAGTGTTGCCTTGTGTGTGGATAATAAATCAGACTGAACGCAGGCTTCTTGCTAATCTCTAACAGCCTTTAATGAGAAGAAAAACATCATATATTAGCCTGGTGAGAGAGCGGACATTCTTTTGTCTCTCAGCCAAAAACGAAAGGAAAACTCACACACAAAGAAAAATTCCCGTATGTGAACCAAACCACGCCTCAGAATGTGAGACGTCACACAGAACTGTTTAACCCTGTAAGTTCTGATTCTCCTCACAGTTTTTAATGTTTAAAATGGGACTCCGGGGAAGGGGTGGGGCAAAGTCCGAGATTTGGAGGAAACTCTGTATATGGTTATGTAATCGATTTTTTAAAAATAATTTTGTATTGTAAAATCAAATAAAAATGATTTTTTTAAAAAACACAAAACAGCTGGCTTTGTGTGCTTGGAATGAACAATGGCAAGAGTAACATCCATCACCTCCAGCTCTTGCCTCTAGTCCTATCTATACAGTAATTGACATATTGCCTCTGAAAATTTCCCAAACATGAAATGTGGCTCTCAGGCTGCATATTCACAGGCTGAATTTATTTATTAGTTTATCGTATTTACTGAGGTGAAGCGTCATGTGTTTTGCCGTGCCTCTCGGTTTCAATGCAGGATGAGTCAGGAAACAATCAACCTTTTTCTTTAATCACAATATCCAAAATGGTCACCACTTTGCATGCTGTCATGATGATGCTCTGGCGGTCAATAGAGAAGAAGACAAACATTAGCACTCCTGCATTTCACCAATATTATCTTCCTTTTTCTTTTCTTTTTTACCCATGACCTCTGGGGAAAAGTTTTCCCCACCAGAAAACAAATGCAACGGAGACCATTATTTTCTTAGCACTTAACTTTTTCTTCAGTTCAGAGTTGAGGTCTCTTTTCAGGGGAAATTGTATTTCTGTTTGCTTCCCCTCTTCTCACTTGCTCATTCCAGGAGCCATCGGTTAGTTGAAAAATGTGATGTCAGATCTCACTCTAGATTTGGATTCTTTTCATTCACAGTTGGAGGTGGCTGAACGAAAGCATCGTTATGAGAGAATTCAATCACGGCTCAACACAATTTCACAGATCCTTATTGTTCCATTTAGGAAGAAATGGCTCAGAGTTAATGTAAACGGTTGTGGGAATTTGAGCAACAACCAAAAAAGCCCCTACCCATTATCCATATTGTTGATATTCGACACACATAGGTTACCACAATAAATCTTGCGCTAATCAGGGCATCTTTATGCAACAGAGAGCCAAAGATAAAGTATGGGAAATTATAATAAGAGGAGACTCGACATGATCAGACTTGTAGAAAGATAACTACCTGGGAAAAGCTGAATTTACTTTTCTGTGTTCACAATGAGGCAAAACAAGGCATGGGGGGAATTTCAGGGAGACATTAGATTTGATTAAAAAGTTTAAACACAGCCAATGTCATGCATCTCTCAGGATAAGCACAAAATGGATTCGCTCAGTGCCCCCAAAAGTTATATGTTACCGACACAATTGAAAGTCAAGTGGCAGAGACCAAACAGACCATGGCTTTAGCCAATATGAATGCTTTGGCCCATTTCACGTCAAATACAAATCAGCATTTGCCTCAGATATTGATTTAAATTAGAGTTACTCAGGGGTCTCCTGTCTATAATTTTTTATGCCAAACTGTTTGAGCGGGAAATAAACAAACAGTAGGGGGGCTGTCGAAAGCCAGATGTTGAGTGTTTGTCAGCTCTGGTACAATTTACCTTCGGCCTTTTATTTTATATTTTTAGTAAACACCTCTCAGAGGGGTGGCACGTACAGTAGGACCTTAACTCAAGGACATTGATTCCTATTATGGCTGAAACCCAAATCTTCTGGTGCATCTGTAAGCCTGTGTTTTAAATGGAATTGGAACCAGAGGAAACATTACAGGCACTAGAAGATTGAGCCTGATGAAATTATTCTCTTTGCTATGACTGAGGGCTCCTTGAGACTGGTGCTTTACTATTCCTTCTTTCAGAAAAAGTTGAGACTTTCACAATAAAATATTAAATATATATATATCCTATTTTGAGGGCTGGTGTGAAGGAATTTTTTTTGGGGGGGGGGGAGGAGGAAACTGTAAATAAACTTTATGTAAATCTGCTCCAGTCCTTCAAAGAACTGAGCAAAAAGGAAGGAAATAACTAGATATTATATAGTTCAGTTTGGTTGCATATACAACTGTAGCAATGATGTATTGAATTTTGCAAATGCCAGGTTAGGATTTACTGTTTAGTTTAAGGAACACAGACTTTTCTGAAAAATCACTCCCCCCCCTTCTTTAATTCTTCATTTAATTTCATCACCAATCTTTGTTCCCTTCCATGTTCATAATTTTGTCTGCTCTTAGGAGGTGTTCTGGTCACAGAGCAATTACTTCCAACTCTCTGATTTCACACTATAGATTTCCACTTATGGTTGAAGGCTTTTCCATTCTTACAAGATTACACTGACAGCAAAGGCTATTTTGTCTTCCATCAAAAGTTAACAATAGCGCAAGGACCACGTATGTGTATTTGATGAACACAGATTTTGTCCTTTGGTTTCTCCAGATCAAACTTAAGGCTGTCAAAATGTTTGGGGAATTCAAGTTTTCAGATCCCCAGTCTAGAGGAAGTGAAGCCCTCCTTATACATTCTACTTGTGAATAAAACTAATTCACACAGTGTGAAATAAGTGTGCCAACCTGCCCCACATATCAGTCTCAAACTTCTGAAGTGCACACATGCATTTGTGGAGAGTCATTGTACAGCTTAGAACCCTGGAAGATTAGGGTTCTAGATGCTCCATGCAAGTGAAGGTTGGTGGAACTGGAACTTATATTTAACTGAAACTGACTAGGGATGCAATCCACACACACCCTCAAGCTGTGGGAAGTTTGAATTGAGTGAAGGCATCACACTTCTGGCAGTGTAGCTGTACTCTTGCCAAATGTGAAGGTGGACAGCAGCCCCCCCTAGTGTTAAGCTCCCAAATCAGCTGTTCCAAGGATAAGGAAGGGGCAGGAGTGGGTCCAGAGTTTCTCTCATAGCTGGCACCAGTTGCCATGGGACCAATCTGCCCGCCTTCCCATTTTTTTCCTCTGCCACTGTGAGTGGCAGAGCACTGGGAGCACCAGCATCCACCACACCAAAAAGCCAGTGGGCAGTTAGAATTGCTCTGTAAGTGACTAGATTTCCCCACTGATTCTCAACAGGATCTAAAGTCAACTAAATGTGCAATACTATGCATATCTACTGAGAAGCAAGCCCCACTGGGTTCAATGGGTCTTACTCCCAGACAAATACATCCAGTGGTTTTTTTTCTAAAAGAAAAAAATGTTTAGGGGTACTGACATTTCCACTTAAGAAAATCACCATTTTATAGTTAAAATAGGGAAAAATAAATACAGTAAATGGACAAAAATACAAAGAACATGCATTACACCAGGAAAGGAAAGGAAGCCACGATTGGAGGTGGTAACAACAAAACAAACCAATCACTGTGCTAGATTCCAACTCCTACTTCACACATTAAAAACTTGCTTCCGTGTGATATTATTATTATTATATTTTTATTTATTTATTTATTTATTTATTTATTTATTTATATTTATTTATTTATTTATACCCCGCCTATCTGGATGAGTTTCCTCAGCCACTCTGGGCAGCTTCCAACAAAATATTAAAAATACATTAAAACATCAGTCATTAAAAACTTCCCTAAACAGGGCTGCCTTCAGATGTCTTCTAAAAGTCAGATAGTTATTCATTTCCTTGACATCTGATGGGAGGGCGTTACACAAGGCAAGCGCCACTTCCCTCTGCCTGGTTCCCTGTAACTTTGCTTCTCACAGTGAGGGAACAGCCAGAAAGCCCTTAGCTGGATCCCAGTGTTTGAGCTGAATGATGGGGGTGGAGACACTCCTTCAGGTATGCTGGGCTGAGGCTATTTAGGGCTTTAAAGGTCAGCACCAACACTTTGAATTGTGCTTGGAAACGTACTGGGAACCAATGTAGGTCTTTCAGGATAGGTGTTATGTGATCTCGGTGGCTGCTCCCAGTCACCAGTTTAGCTACCACATTCTGGATTAGTTGTAGTTTCCGGGTCATCTTCAAAGGTAGCCCCACATAGAGCGCAATGCAGTAGTCCAAGCGGGAGATAACTAGAGCATGCACCACTCTGGCAAGACAGTCCGTGGCAGGTAGGATCTCAACCTGCGTACCAGATGGAGCTGATAAACAGCTGCCCTGGACACAGAATTGACCTGCACCTCCATAGACAGCTGTGAGTCCAAAATGGCTCCCATGTTGTGCACCTGGTCCTTCAGGGGCACAGTTACCACATTCAGGACCAGGGCCTCCTCCACACCCACACGCCCCCTGTCCCCTGAAAACAGTACCTCTGTCTTGTCAGGATTCAACCTCAATCTGTTAGCTGCCATCCATCCTCCAACTGTCTTAAACTCAGGAAATACCGTGACATGAAATGAGGCCACCATTGGGGGTAGCAACAAAACTAATGATTCACCGTGCTAGAGAAGAAACTCTATATAGAGAGAGAGTTTCTTCTCCCATTAGATCAGCCTTTCTCAACCTGTGGGTCCCCAGATGTTGCTGAACTACAACTCCCATCACCCCTAACTAGCAAGGCCAGAGCTCAGGGATGATGGGAGTTGTAGTCCAACAACATCTGGGGACCCACAGGTTGAGAACTGCTGCATTGATTCACAAAATATTTAGGGGTATGTGTACCCCTGCATACCCCCAGAAAAAAAGCACTGAATATGTCTACTTTTGCATAATATTCTGCATAGAACCCATTGGGTTTAAGGACACTCACTTCTGTATTGGGTTACAGACAACATATTCTATTGGGGGGGGGGTCAAAGCTAACCTGAACAAGAAAACAATGTTAATGCAGAGATTACTTTAAACAAATGTTATGACATTTAGCCTTTTGTGATCGTGTCTTTGCTCCTTACACTTGTTGCCTTGCAGACCTCATCCAAGTCATGAAGCATACAATGACAGCATGTCAAATTGATGTTCATCATTGGATAATGTTTTAGAGCATCCTGAAGAAACACATTCCCCTTACAATTCAATGAACATCACATTTAAACTCAATGTAGCAAAACATATTTTTCTAACATGGCTTATTCCCCCTTCCCCCTTCAATAATACTTTCTGTCGGCCTCTAATAAAGGGTCTGTAGTAATAGATTATATTCTTAAATGCATGCATTGTCAAAGGACATCTTTTCTTGAAGGATAAACTGGTATTTTTTTAAAGTATAACTTGTCTGAAGGACATATTTTAACTGTCCTTGTTCGTTGCACACAAGAAGTAGAGAAGTGGTTCCCAAACATTTAGCCCCATGGACCACTTGAAATTGTTGCGGGTCCTGCTGGACCACTTAATGAGTTTTCTGCCTGTTGTAGCAATTGCAATGGGTAGTTATAGATGTTGCATGGCTTTTAATTGGGTTTTTATTGCTTCCTTTATTTCTTATATATTGTGTTTTATTATATTGCAATTTGAATCTCATAAAATGCAATACAATATCATTGTAATAGAGTACAGTGGACGCTCAGGTTGCGAACGTGATCTGTGCGGGATGCACGTTTGCAACCCACAGCGTCCACAACCCCCAGCGGTGCATCTGTGAATGCGCGGGTTGCTGTTGGGTTGAAAATGAACGACAGACGAGCAGGTAGGTGTCATGCAGGAGGCGTCTCTCGAGCAAGCCTCGGAGACTCCCTTTTATTGAATATTACTGCGTTTGCCACGTGTGCTTGTTGCTGATTGGTTAACATAAGTACAAAGCAAGGGTTGCATATAAGACATTAATTATTGCATATAAGACATTAATCATAGACAGGTTAAAGGTTGGGAAAAGGAACGCGGAGTTTACACAGGCATGGTTTCGGACTGCCCGTACCAGAGTGGTATGAAAAAGGAATGTACAAGGAGGGGTAAGTACAGATTGATATGGTGTGAACTCAAGGTGAACAGGACGTACCAGGGTGATGATGGAATGTCTTAGCATCAGCACGGTTTGTGCAGCGTGAGCAAAACAAAGCTTAGAAGCAAGACTTCCCATCATGCCACAGTTATGTGCAGAAGCAATGCTTTCCTTCAGGTTGCGATTTAGCGCTTCTGCGTATGCGCAACCGCCGAAACCTGGAAGTTTTGGAGGTCTGTAACACAAAAAACACAACCTAAAGCGTCTGTAACCCTAGGTATGACTGTATAAGAAATTAATTAAGAAATGCAAATCAATTCATATCAGTATGAATATTCCATGCAATGAATGGGTTGTCTTCCATCTTCAGCCAACAATCTACAGACCATCTGAATGAAACTCAGAGACCACGGGTGTCTGTGGATCACAGTTTAGGAACCACTGAAGTAGACAAATAGAGGGCATCCAGTTTCAGAAAGACTGATGTTTCTGCTCCTGTAATGGGAATTCACCTTTCTCTTCTCCTGTTGAAGTCTCTTGCCCAGAACCAAAATCTGCCTTGGAGGCTGGGGAGATCCCCCACTGAATATTTCAGAGGCATGCAGGGGCTACAGTGGGAGGAGAGAAAGGAGAGGTCCTCATTGCATAGTCTCAAAAGCTATGAACGCTTCTGGATGCTTCAATATGTGTGTGTCTGTGACACAGAGCTCGCCCGCCCATGAGGCGGGGTGAACCAGCTGCCTCAGGTGGCAGAAGTGCAAGAGATGGCACCCTACTTGCTGCTGATGTTATTAGGCAGTTAAATGTGCATTCGAACTCTGTTTGTTTCCCTCTCTCCCTCCCACACCCCCCTCCACATGGCCCCGGGGGCTGGCAACCCACGCTACACCACTGGGTGGAGAAGATGAGTGTCATACCTTTTGAAACACTCCCTTCTCACCGAGTTCAGCGAGAGAGAGAGGGCATTGTGATGCACCACTATGTCCCTCATCTTCCCCACCCCTAGGGCAGAGCAGATAAGTAGCAAAGCATTGTGGAATGCTCTCTCTCTCTCTCTCTCTCTCTCTCACACACACACACACACACACATAAAGTTCAATGAGGAGAGGGGCGTTCTGGAACACAGCAGAAGTGGGGGTTTCATGGCACTGGCAGGGGCAGGGAACAACACATTCCCATTTTGCCTCAGGTAGTGAAATGGGCCAGGCCTCCCCTTTGTGGAAGCACAACATGGAGTGGCCTGTCATAAAGGTCACAGAAGTCCCTCTTCTTCCATGCTGCTACCACGCAGGGTGAGCTCTTGATATTTATGGCAAATTCCAATGCATCCAGGTAATTCATGGTAAGCAGAGATCTGCTTGCACTTCACCCATAAAAGAATTAGTTTCTGGATGCATAAGCAGAGTCCCTGGCCAATTCCCTGGCTACATTGGAGCATACCTGGCATGGGAAAGGCCAACCACCATAATGGCAATGTGGAGGAGAGTTCTGCTTGACTCCTATGAAGATCCACTTCTCAGCTTATTCTCCAGTTGCCCATGCAGAAGGCACAGGATTGCAGTCAAAGCATCTACAATGCACATTAACTTCAGGTGAGCCTATCCTGATGTGTGCAGCAATTTCAGTTTTACTGATAATATGTGAGGATCACTGAAGAGTAGATTCTCAGGAAGGAAAGGTGAGCAACCAATGTGTTTGAATTCATTTTTGTTGTGACATATGAGTAAAGGAATCCTAAGTGATGGATATTCCCTCCCCCCCTGAAGCAAGATCAATTTCACTCCTTGGCAGTTTCTAAATTGTATTTGCCAATTGCTAG